TGAGCTCTAAGGGCTATAGTGTGAGCTGTGAGAGCTGAAGTGTGAACTGTGAGGACTGAGGTGTGAGCTGTGAGGCTGTGGGGTGAACTGTGAGGCCTTGAAACGAGCTCTAAGGGCTATGGTGTGAACTGTGAGGCTTTGGTGTGAGTTGTGATAGCTGTGATGAGTTGTGAGGGCTGTGGTATGAGCTCTAAGGGCTGTGATATTAACTGTGACAGCTGAAGTGTGAACTGTGAGGACTGTAGTATGAGCTCTAAGGGCTATGGTGTGAGCTCTGAGGTAGAAATGTGAGCTGTGAGGGCCGCGAGCTGAGTGACGGCTAATTTAGGAGTTAAATGTGTGGGAAGGAAGGGCACCATGTACTTCTCAGTCTTGCTCTTACTCAGAACTCTGACTCCCCACTTTTGTTCGGCAGCTTCACAGGCATCCAAGTTCTGAAAGAAGCCTCTTTGTCTCAGCTCCCTGCAGTGAACTTGATTTCTAGGTTAACACTTGGAAAGAGAGCATAACTTTGCCCTGCAACTTCCGTGGGTCCCTGAGTTGGAGTGGACTTGACAGCTGTTAGCGGGCTGTATATACATAGACAAATGACATCATACTTGGAAGAGTAGGTATCAGAAAAGGACAGGAAGACCCCGGATGAGATGTGCTGACACAGTAGCTGCAACATCGGGTTTGAGAAGTGCAGAACTTGTGAGGATGACATGGTTCCATCTGTTGTCAACTTGAGTTCACGTTGACTCGGCAGCACCTAACAATACGGCACATGTGCACACGTGCAGATTATGGTGAGCCATCTACGATGTGAAGATTCTGCTGGAGTTTACAGAAAGGATGCTGTTAGAATAGCATAGACGACACCTCTGATTCAGCCTCATCGTGGCTCACATACTTGCCTCTGTGGATGCATCTGAGGGCTGTCTCTTCAGCATTGTCCTGGGTACTTCATTCCACTCGTCCTGTAAAGGACGGGACCTCAGCATGCTTTTAGAATTAGTGATGTTTATTGCTCCAACCCCGGGACTCCATGAACAGCAGGGACAAATGCTGCCCAGTCCTTTGTCCTCTTCATGGTTCTTAGTGTGTCAGAGTCCCTTCTTTGGCCATGTGTTTGCCAACTTCACAGAGGGTTCTCTTTTTTCAATGACTTTTCCAGGTATAGCAGCCTTATTGAGTGTTAGGTTTTTGCTGTTGCTGTGTCCAAAGTGAGTCAAGTCTTGTTGTCTTCATTTCTAAGGAGTATTCTCATATTTCTTTTTTTTTTTTATCATCTTGGGTAACTGAAGTTTAAACATTTTTTAAAATTTTACTAATTTATTTACAAAGTTTGCATACATTGTTTTCCACAAAAGATCCTTCCCATTTCCTTCACCCACCCACACATCGAATTGTGCAACCCCACGATTAACACCCCACCGCTCCATCCTCACCCTTCTATTTCGACCTCCCCGCCACACACACACACACCTTGGATCCTCATACTCATTCTACAATAATGGTTTTATACAGTATTTGCCATTGTGGGACTGAGTTAGTTCACTCAACATAATGCTCTCCAGTCACTTCCAACTCAGGTAGTAATTTACAAAATGATTGCTCCTGCGTGCTGTGTAGTATTCCATTGCATGAATGCACCACAGCTTTTCAATTCATTCATTTGTGGTTGGACATCTGGGCTGTTTCCATGTTCTTGCGATGGTGAATAATGCTGCTATGAACACTGGCGCACAAGTTTCCTTTCAATCCTCAGTTCTCATTTTCTTGGGGTATATTCCAAGGAATGGCATAGCTGGGTTGTATGGAATTTCTATGTTCAGTTGTTTTAGGAAATGCAAAACTGCCTTCCAGAGTGGCTATACCATTGTACAATGCCGCCAACAAAGTAAAAGTTCTTATCTCACCACATCCTCTCCAACATTTATTCCTTGCTGTCCTGTTAAACGTTGCCACTGCTACTAGAGTGAGATGGTATCTCATTGTAGTATTGATTTGCATCTGTCTTATTGTCAGTGATTTGGAGCAGTTTTTAATATGTCTGTTGTCCATTTTAATATCTTTCTCTGTGAAAATTCTTTCCATGTCTTTTGCCCATTTTGAAAATGGGTTATCAGGCTTTTTTCTTGTGGCGGCCCAAGTATATTTAGATAAACTTTCGTTATGAGACTTGTCTGAGATAATATTGTAAAAAATCTTTCCTAGTCAGTAGGGGTTGGTTTATTTTTTTTTTACCCTATTGGAAAAAGTTTTTTATGAACACAGGGATTTAATCTTTAGAAGGTCCCATTCATCAATTTTACCCTTTTCAGATTGTACATTTCTGGCTGTATTTGGCAGTCTCTTTATACCGTAGACTAAGGCTTTTAAGCTTGATCCCAATTTGTCTCTTATGAACTTTATGGTTTCGGGCTTTACTCCCAAGTCTCTTATTCACCTTGAGGTGATTTTTGTGTGTTGTGTGATATGTAGATCCTGTTTCATCTTTCTGCAGGTAGCAGTCAGTTATGCCAGCACCATTTGTTGAAGTCATGATTTCCCCATTTGATAGGTTTTATTTTCTTGTCAAATATCAGTTGACCATAGATAGCTGGATGTATTTCTGGGCTCTCAGTTCAGTTCCACTGATCTCTGTGTCTGTCCTTGTACCAGTACCATGTTGTTTTGGTTACTACCGCTATGTAGTAAGTTTTGAGGTCAGAGAGTGCTGTACCTCCCACTTTATTTTTGCTTCTCAGAAGTGTTTTGCTTCTTTGGGGTCTCTTGCCTCTTCAGATACACTTGACAATTTCCCTTTTGATCTCCTTGAAAATGAATTTGGTATCTGTATTGGGGTTGCACTGAATATATAGATTGTTTTTGGTAGGAATGTAATTTTCAGAATATTGAGTCTATCCATGAACAGGGCACATTTTTCCATTTCTTTGGGTCTTTTATTGTGTCTTGAAGAAATATTCTGTAGTTTTCTTTGTATAGGTCTTTTGTGTCTCTTGTTAGGTTCACTCCCAAGTATCTCAATTTGTGGTTGGCTATTGTAAATGATATTGCTTTCTTGGCTTTCTTCTCTAAATTCTCTTTGTTACTGTAAAGGAATCGCACTGATTTTTGGATCTTGATCTTATATCCTGCCACTCTACTAATTTGGCCTAGTAGCTCTAACAGGTTTTTGTTACTGTTGTTGTTGAGTCCTTGGAGTTTTCTATGTATACTATCATATCATCCGCATATAGCGATATTTTAACCATACCTTTGCCAATCTGGATGCCTTTTATTCCCTTTTCTTGTCATGTTGCCCTAGCAAGCATTTCTAGTACAATATTGAATACAAATGATAACAGGGCACATCCTTGTCTGTTTGCAAGGAAAATGTTTTTAGTCTTTCTTCTTTGAGAATGATTGGCTCTTGGTTTTGCTTATATACTTTTCACTGTGTTGAGGAAATTAGTTTTTCTTCTCATTTTGCTGAATGTCTTAATCAGGAGGAGGTGTTGAATTTTGTCAAATGCCTTTTCTGCATCATTTGCTAATACCATATGGTTCTTATTATTTATTTTGTTAATATGGTGAATTACGTTGATTGTTTTTTCTTATATTGAACCATCCGGACATATCTGAATTCCACTTGGTAATGGTGACTTTTTTAAATGTGCTTTTGGATTCTATTGGCTAAGATTTTGTTAAGGATTTTTGCATCTGTATTCATGAAAGATATTGGTCTGTAGTTTTCTTCTTTGGTAATATCTTTGCCTGGTTTTGATATTAGGGTTATGCTTGCATCATAGAATGACTCTATGAGTGTTCCTTCTTTTTCAATTTTTGAAATAGTTTAAGTAGAATTGGTGATAGATCTCTCTGAATGTTTTAAATAATTCAGCTGTGAAACCATATGGTCCAAGACTTTTCTTATGGGGAAGTCTTTTTATGACTTTTTTCAAATTCTTCTTTTGTGATGGGTCTGTTCAAGTATTCTAACCTGTCAGTGTCAATCTGGGTAGGGCATGAATTTCAAGGAATTTGTCCATTTCCTCTGAGTTTTAAAGTTTATCAGAGTGTAGCTTTTCATAGTGTTTTGGTATTGTAGATTTAACTTCCTCTGGTTCTGTTGTGATTGTCACCTCTATCATTTCTTAATGGAATTATCTGTGTCTTCTTTTTTTACGTGGCCCAGTGGTTTGTCAAGGAGTATCCATGTATTTCTTTTAAGAGATTTGTTAATTCTTCTGGCAGACCCTATGCAGATGATGGTCTCCAAATCACCAACATCCCAGTACGTTTACGCTTCTGCATTCAAAGTCCATCCTCCTTATGAATGTGTTGTTGTTAGGTGCTATCGAGTTGAGGACGGTTTGTAGCAACCCTATGAACAACTGATCTGAACATTGGAAATACATAGTGTATAGGTTAATTATTACATTTTCTTGGTTAGGTTATAGTTACATTTCTTTTACTACAGGATAACTGCCCCCTTCTGCCTAACTCTGGGCAAGAAGATTTTGACAAGGACGGGATCGGGGATGCTTGCGATGAGGATGATGACAACGATGGTGTGAGTGATGAGAAGGTAGGTGTGTGGCCCCCTGATGCTTTCTGGGTGTCAGGAGCACAGCTGCTGGAGGAGAGAAGGGATCATGCCACCTAGTGTTTATTGACATCACTGATTCTTAGAGTCTGATGGGTGATGGTGTTCTAATCAAAATATTCTGATCATGTATATAGTTCACATGAGCAGCAAAAAAGGAGTCTCTGCACTCTCCTTGGTAGTGGGTTCCAGGAAGAGGCAAGACAAAGAACCCTATAGTAGATGTACTTGGTTCTAAGGTCTTATTCAATATTTTCACTTTTTAAAAAAGAATGTTTGTGCAAAGCATAAATTATTTGATGCATCTGATATATCTTAGCATATACCAGCCAGTCCTGATCACCTGCATTTTTCCCTTCATTTTTCTGCTTCTGACTTTAATGGCTTCATGAATTCTCATTCGCTTGTTTGACCTGTATTCATCTCTTCTCACTATAATGCAGTGTGCCATCTTTGGAATAGGGTACACAGATGTATGCCTGAGTTAAAAACCATGTGGGGTGGAGCCAGTAACTCGAAGCAAAGGGTAGTTGAGTTCGTGCATTTGCTTTTATTCCAGAATTGTTTATTCTGAACTACTTTAATCAAGTAATGTGTAAGCTCTGAGAAATATTATAAGCAATCCAATAATTTATGTATATTTTTTTTAAAAATTCTGTCCTTAATTTTCCCACTAGGACAATTGCCAGCTTCTATTCAACCCCCGCCAGTTTGACTATGACAAAGATGAGGTTGGGGACCGCTGTGACAACTGTCCATACGTGCACAATCCAGCACAGATTGACACAGACAACAATGGCGAAGGGGATGCCTGCTCCGTGGACATTGATGGAGATGGTCAGTCCCAATAAGCTCTGTCTGCATGAACTTGAAGGGCACCATCAGAAACAAACAGGATAGTGAGCCCTGAACTCACTGTCGGACATGTGTTCTAGTGTCCACCATCAGAACATAGACGAGGACAGTCAGTTTGTACTCTTCGTCTACTTGAACCTAGGGTCCACCAAGAGAGATCAGAAGTGGTGGCCAATCTTGTACCCACCTACTGTCAGACATAAATTTAAAGTCCACCGTGGGGATATGAATGTTGATAGCTGTTCACCACCAGATACGTGTTGTAGGAATCACCATCACAATACAGGTGGTGATGGTTGGTTGGAGGTCCCCACCTGAAGTCCTTGAAAAAGTGTTTTTGTTTGTGCTCTTTAGTTTAGCTCAAGTTCAACCACACTGATACCCCTGTTTCCTTTGACTAGACTCTCGCTCATGGCACCACAACATGTGTCAGAGGAGAACTGTGCTGTGTGAGTTTTCAGGAATGCAGCCTCTCCATCTTTGTTTCATGATACCTCTAAATGGACACGAACTTCCAAGCTTCTGGTTAACAGCTAGAGTTAAGTCAGCAGCTTAACCATTTGCGCCACCCTATAAGGTTAAAAAGCCAGTAAACTCTTCTGGGAGCCTGTCCCCATTTGGTTGTCTGGCATTTGTTACGAGCCTCAGGATCATCGTTTAGAGAATTGTGACTTGGGAGCAAGGCGTTCATAACTCAGAGACAGAATTCCCATCTCCCGCCCCTGAGATCCAGGTTCAGTTTCTGCCCTGTGCTCCGCGTATGCAGGCACCACCCACCTGCCAGTGAATGCTTGTGTACTGCTATGCTGTTAAATAGGATTTATTAGGATTTCCAGATTAAGAAAGACTAGAAGGAAAGATTTTGGGATCTTCTTCTGAAAACCAACCAACGGAAACCGGATCACAATAGTCCAGTCAGGTCACGGAGCTGGTGCAGGACCTGGCAGTGTCTCCTTCGTCCTGCAAGGGGTCACTGTGAGTCACAGTGATGCAGAAGCAGCAGCAGTGAGGACAGTGAAGCCGGTATCTTCCCTCCTTGGTGTGCTGTGCCCTGTTCTCCTTTCTCACCCTCGTTCAGAGCCCTGATGACCAGCCCCTTTCTTCTGGGACAGGGAGTCTCTCTCCACTCCCATTGCTTGGCTGCCTCCATCCCTTTGCTCACCTGGCCCCGCCCTCCGGACTCGGTGTTTGTTCCATCTGCTTCACCAAGTGTCACTGATGGTGCGACCAGGGATGTGTTTCTTTGTAATGACCATATTAACAGAAATCACTTCTACTTTCAGATGTCTTCTGACATGTATCACATCCCTAAATGTCTACATTATTGCTTGTACAAATGTGCGTTAATGTAGTTATAAGGCAGCAGGACCTGCGGTCGACAGTGCCTGGGAACCCAGTGTATTTTATGAAATAGTTTAGGGGGAAGAAGTGCTGTGAGCTCAGGGTTTTCAGTTTGGTCAGTGGCCCCGTTTCTCAGGAGTCTTCAAGGATCCATCTTATTTTAAACTAAGGACGTGTGGACTTTAAGGGAAAGATGGCATTTGTTCTCCCCAGAATCTATTAATATTTAAATTCTGCCATCTTCTTTGGTCATTCATTTTATTTATTTGTAAAACATTTGGAAACATGTTATTTGACGCCTTAGGAGAAACAGTACAGGGTGCTTCTCTTCTTTCTTTCAAAACCTACAGATGTCTTTAATGAGCGAGACAATTGTCCCTACGTGTACAACACTGACCAACGAGACACTGATGGTGACGGTGTGGGGGATCACTGTGACAACTGCCCCCTCATGCACAATCCTGACCAGGTAATGGGCTGTGCCCACACGTGGAAGCTGTGATGGGAGGACATTCCTGAAGCCCTGTTGGCTGTGTTTATGTATAAATATGGAGATACAAATGCACTTGGTGCAAACTGTAGGCTCAGCCACGAACCTTAAGGGTGGCCCTTTGGGCACATCCAGCAGCACTGGAGGGAAGACCTGACACCCTGCTTCCCTGAAATCACGTGGAAGCCCTGAGGAGCACATTCCTTCATAGGCATAGGATCACCAGCAGTCAGATCGGGCTCGGTGGCAGCAGCTTTGACCCTCAGGTTTGATAGATCTGTACATGCCTTTACTCTCTTCCTTTCACTTTACAAAGACCCCACAGCAGTGTTTCAACAGTTCTCATTGCAGACATTTACTGGACTCGAGTGTAAACATGGCTCTGGCATCTCAGTGTCCAGGGCCCAGAAGACAGACACTACAGCCTCACTATCTAGAGCCGTGATCGCTTCCTCTAATTCTTTTAGGATTTTCTGACACAAATGTAGGATTTCACGACATTTCCAGATTTGCCTTTGGGTAAGACAAGTGAGGCTAGAAACACAGAGCTTGGGCTAGTTGTAGGGGACAACATGAAAATAGACTTTCACTCTGCAGGGTTTACTGTCTTCCTGTGAAGCATAAGAAAGTGACTTGTGGAGAGGGGTGGAGTGACCACTAGGCTAAGGCTTCTAGATGTTGTCTCTGAAGCCCTTTCATCTCAAATGTCCCAGCCTCTTCTACGGCAAGGTTGTGACGCTAATGGTGCCGATGCTTGCCATGGTCCCTCTCCAAAGGTCTCCTCGATCCGGGTCTTAGGCTCACTGCTACCTTCCTCTCACTCTCTTCTCAGACTGACGTGGACAATGATCTTGTTGGGGACCAGTGTGACAACAATGAAGACATCGATGAGGATGGCCACCAGAACAACCAGGACAACTGCCCCTACATCTCCAACGCCAACCAAGCCGACCACGACAGCGATGGCAAGGGTGACGCATGTGACCCTGATGATGACAACGATGGGGTCCCTGATGACAGGGACAACTGCCGGCTCGTCTACAACCCAGGCCAGGAGGACTCGGATGGTAGGTGCTGTCTCTGAGTGAGAAATCATGCAGGCACACATGTGGAGGAGAGACTGTGATGGAACTCCCAGCGTGGAGATGCAGCCTCTCTGCAAGGCCCCAGGCTGCAGAGGTGTGCAGCCTTCCTTGGCTTCTGCTCCGTGAATGTTAGGTTCTTTCTAAATCATCACTGTATCATCCAGCATGTGACACATCTGAAAGGGCTGCTTACCTGCATTGGGATGAGGCAGTGTCAGCAACCCCCTACCAATCTCCAGTTCTGGACAATTTTAAGAAAAAAAGATGTCCGTGTCACACCTCACATATAATAATGCTTCAATATACTGTGCCAGTGAGGTCACTGGGCTTTATTCTTTTGAGGACAAAATAAACAGTGAAAGGAGTAAAAGCAATAGAATAGTCAGGGCAATCGGAACCAGTGTCTCTAGCACTGAACGACCTTCAGGAGGGGAAACCACCAGGTTGCTACTGCCCCTGAAGCCATTGTCTCCCTGTGACCAATGAGAGGCAGTGACGGGGCTCTGACCGCCTGGGTCCACTGGTTGTCCTCACAAGCCATCCTGGCCAACAGCAGTTCCATGGGATGTGAATGCTTAGTAAACCCTGGTGAGGGGCGAGGAAGGGCATGGGAAACGGCAGAGTCCACTCTGCAGCCTGAAGACTTCCCTGGGATTGAACCGGAAAGAGGACGTTGTTTATTAAAGTGAGAACAGTCGGGTTCAGGCTCTCACAGCTGGATGGTGGAGGGCGGCGTTTGCCACAGTGTGGGTTAGACTCTGAGCCTTTTCCCCAGGAAGGCAGTGGAATGAAGATCCCCGCGGAGGAACAAGGCAGGGCAGGAGATGCCCCGGCAGTCAGTGTGGCATGCGGTAACAAAAAGAACCTAAACATAGCTTAGAGAAGAGGAGCTGTACTTGCTGGCTGTACCTCCGTTAGTGGAGAAGGATTTGTGCCGCTCACCAAGAAGCAGGTGACTCGAGGCCACCATTGGCTTCTCCGGACAAAACTGCAGGTCGGGCACCCGCTGGAGGGTGCACTCCGAGTCAGTTCTGACTGCCAGCTCTTACAGGAAGCAACAGCTAAAACAACAGCTCCCCAGACAGGCCAGCTCGCTTGGAGCTCCAGGCTGCTGAGCCCATCATTGATCTTCCCATGTGTCCCCTGGTGACATCTGGACCCCTTTTTGGCGTATTCCCAGACCTACCACTTTCTTCCCTGAAAAATTCAAAAGGAGGCTTCCAAAATAGGGAGGGCTACCTCTCCCACCTACTTTGAGCTAGAAGAGCTTATTCCTTGAAGGACTTCATGCTTGGAAATTGGTGGGATGGCAAAGGAGAGGAAGACCCTCAACCAGGTGAACTGACACAGTGACCGCAGCAACTGGCTCAAGTGTGTCAGCGATGGCAAGGATGGCACAGGGCAGGACATGGCTCAGGTCTGTTGTTCACTGGGTTGCTATGAGCCATACACAACTTGACGGCACCTAACAACCCCTCTCGCCAGGAGAGGTCCTTTGTAATACAACAGGTACCAAAGAGATTACAGGCAGAGATGATGAGGCAAAATGATGAGAAGTCTGGAAACTTCCAGAGTAGAAGAGGGAAAGCTTGAGCTCAGTGTTACCTGACAGCCATTCAGACCTAGGACCTCTGTGCTAAGCCTGGTGGGAATGGGCTCTGGTGGAAACTGACTTTTTTCCTCTTTGCTGCACTATTTACCATCACAGTGTTTCCAAGAGATGCCCAAGACCCCTCATCTTCAGCTAAAGTCTTAAAGACGCCCAAGTCTTCACCCACACACCTCGAAGCACTTAACCTTGAACTCTTTTTTTTTATTATTATTAAATTTTATTAGTTTCAATGAACACTCACAGGGATTCTGGGCTTTCACTCCTTCATTGCCGCACCATTCTCTCCACCCTCCTCCCCAGTTTGTTCTTCTTCCCCGCCATCCGAATGTCTGTTTTAATTGTCCAATTGCCACAGTGCTTGTCAAAGTCAGTTCTGATTAACGTCCTTTGTCGGTGTGTCCTTTGCCATTCCCTATCACTACTCCCTGAGAGAGACTTCACCCTGATTCATAAGGAAAAGGGAATGGCGTATTCTCTTAGCTACTTCCTGCTGAAAGGGGACGCTGTGGGTTTCAGGGTGAAGATCTTCTCTCACTACTCTAGAGGGCCCCTTTGGCAGTAGGAAACACGTAGACTGTTATGGAGATTGATTTTGGAATTTAGATGCACTCTTATTGATTGTGCTTGGCCGTACATGTTCATATCCTTGAAGATGTATCATGAGGGTGTTGCAACCTAGAAGACACAAATATGACTAACAAGTAACCTTGAACTCTTGAAGGTCGAGGCACCACTTTTTCTTGGACGTAATACGAGCAGTGATGAGCAACTCACCTTGAATTTTTGTTTCCATTTTTTCCTTTGAACAGGTGATGGACGAGGTGATGCATGTAAAGATGACTTTGACAATGACAATGTCCCAGACATTGATGATGTGTGTCCAGAAAACAACGCCATCAGTGAGACTGACTTCAGGAACTTCCAGATGGTCCACTTAGACCCGAAGGGCACCACGCAGATAGACCCCACCTGGGTGATCCGTCACCAGGGCAAGGAGCTGGTTCAAACGGCCAACTCAGACCCTGGCATTGCTGTAGGTGAGTCCCTGAGGCACTGTATGTGGGACTGTTAGGATCTCAGAGGAGCCACATGGAGACAGCTGCCCTTTAAAATCACTGGGGTGAGTTGGGCACTGGCTTTCTGCTACCCTCTGTTCACTCATGGTATAGACCTGTCTATGCAACTCATTACGATACAAGAACTTAGGGATGCATGAACTTGCCTCTCCCAATCTGACTCTGACCAATAATGTGTTAATTTTTAGACTTAGGTGTTAAAATACCTATTATGTAATACAGAAGAATCCTCCCCTGACTCTGTAAATAGAACTGCACACAAATAAATCGTTTAAAAAATTATGCAATTCACAGAATGTGGGTGGAGGAGGGGAGCGGGGCGGAGGAGAAGAGCCCATCTTGTCCTCATTTGACGTTGATGTGACCCCGGGGACAGCTCGGCCTTTCGGGGGAAGGTGTTTGTAAGTACACACTGACCAAATGCCTCCCTCTGGGCCAGGTTTTGATGAATTTGGGTCTGTGGACTTCAGCGGCACCTTTTATGTCAACACCGACCGGGACGATGATTATGCCGGCTTCGTCTTTGGCTATCAGTCCAGCAGCAGGTTCTACGTGGTGATGTGGAAGCAGGTGACCCAGACCTACTGGGAAGACAAGCCCACACGGGCGTACGGCTACTCGGGGGTGTCCCTCAAAGTGGTCAACTCCACGACGGGCACGGGCGAGCATCTGCGGAATGCACTGTGGCACACGGGGAACACAGAAGGACAGGTGAGGCCACTTGGAGGGTACCCAGATTCTGTATCCCCTTCAGGTCGCTGTGGTGTTTGCGGCCGCTGGGCTCAGTGGACTGACGTGCCTCGCACAGCCGTCTCCTCCTGAGTGTGTGCTGAGCGAGGAACACTCCACCGCCTGCTGCTTTGAACGCAGTTGGCAATCCTCTTGCAAACAAGGCCTATTTCCACCCTCTTGTAGACATAGGCAGAGCTAGTTTCAAAAAGCTTCTGGATTTTTCCTAGGATTCTTATCGGATTCTTCAAACTGGCCTGGACTGCTTGTTAAGAGCAGATTCTGGATGCGGCCAGGAGAGCTGTGCAATGGAAACGGAGGTCTGCCGGTAGAGGAGGATGTGTTTACACGGGACCTATGTTTGCTCGTAGTCTTACGAAGTGTAGTTCCCACCTAACACCTGGCTTCTTTTCCGCAGGTGCGGACCTTGTGGCATGACCCTAAAAACATTGGCTGGAAAGACTACACAGCCTACAGGTGGCACCTGACTCACAGACCCAGGACGGGCTACATTAGGTAAAGGCCTCTCAGCTCCGCCCGTTTTCTAGCAGATGATTCCCGCTTCAGGAACTTCTTTCAATCTGACCGCAAACTTGAGCTGTTAAGCAGGGAGACGAGGCAGTCTGTGTCTGTAAAGGTTTAGAGCTGGAGAAGCCCTGGGGAGAAGCTCTGCTCTGTCCTCAAGGACCAGTGTGACTCAGAATCTGTGTGACAGTAGTGAATTTGGCTGGGATTTTTAGGGCATTAAAATTCATATTAAAATAATTTGCTAAAGAAAAGAGAAGATTGCTATTACGTAGACTCTGATTAATGGTTACAGTGTCAGATAGAACCCCGCCTTTCTCTCCAGTTGTACCTCTCCCCGCACCCCCAATTAAGCTAAGGAGCCCTGCTATTGTAGTATGCAGTGTATCAGGCCACTAACAGAAAGGCCATCAGTTCAAAGCTACCAGCCACTTTGTGGGAGAAAGATGAACAGTCTCCTAGAAAGATTTACAGCCTCAGAAACCTGACAGAGAGTCACTTCTAGTCAGGACTGACTCTTAGGCAGTAGGTTTTTGGAAATTGTTCTTGTTGCTGTTTTGTTGTTATGTGCCTTTCAGTCATTTGTGACTCATAGCAGTTCTCTGTACAGCAGCTCTGAACCCTGCTGTATCCTAAACCAGTCTCACTGTCTCTGACATACTCCCATTACCCCAGTTACTATGTCAATCCATCTGACCCAGGGTCTTCCTTTCTTGAGCTATCTCTGCGCCCACCAAGCATGATGTCTTTCCTTGAGGACATGATCCTTCCTGCCAACATACCAAAAGTATGTGAGAGTTTCAAAACCCTTGCCTCCAACTTGGTCTCATCCTCTCCAGGACAGACCTGTCTATTCTCTTGGCACTCCATGGTGCATTCATTAGTCTTCTCCAGAACCACAACTATAGGGCAACAATGCTTTTTCTATGATCCTTATCCTTAACTGTTGTCCAGCTCTCTGATGCACAGCATGTAATTGTAAAAGCCATGGCCTGAATCAGGTGTACCTTAGTCTCCAGACTGACATCATTGCTCTTCAGCACTGTAGAGAGGTCCCAGTTTTAGCCAGTGTAATTAGTCTTTTGATTTCCTAACTGCTGATGCCGAGAGTATCAATTTAGGAACCAAGCTACAATTTCATGTTAACAATCTCAATCTCTTCTCCATCTATCATGGTGCGTCCAGTTGGCCCAGTGGTAAGAATCTTTGGTTTCTTGATGTTGAGCTTCAGTCCATATTGGAGACTTCTGCCATTCACTTTCTGCAGCAAACACTTCAGGTCCTCCTCAGTTTCAGCAAGCAAGGTTGTGTCATCTGCATAGCTCGGATTGTTTCTCCAATCCTGATGCTACTTTTGTCCTCATAAAGTTCAGCCTTCCAAATGATCTGTTCTTCATATAGATTGAAAAGGTATGAAGCCCTATTACATTCTTTTCCTGATTTTGAATCATGCAGTGTGTTCTTGCTCTATTCTGATGACAACTTCCTGGTCCAAGTATAGGTTTCACATGAACACAGTCAAGTGTTCTGGGATTCCCATTCTCCTCAAGGTTAGCCACAATTTGTTGTGGTCCACACAATCAAATGCCTTTGCATAGTCAATAAAACACAGACAGACATTCCTCTGGCCCTCTGTTTTTAGCCAAGATCCATCTAACGTTGGTTATGATGTCCCTAGTGCCACGGCCTCTTCTAAACCCAGCTTGCACTTCTGATACTTCTTTCTTGTACTATTCCAGTCCTTTCTGGATAATTTTCACCAGAATTTTGCTTATGTGTGAGATTGTTTGATAATTTCCACACTCTATTTTATCATTTTTAAAAAATAGGAAAAATTATGGATCTTTTCCAGTCAGTTGGCCAGATAGTTGTCCTCCAGATTTCTTGGCGCAGCTTGGAAAGGACGTTCAGGGTTACATCAGTTTGTTGAAATATGTCCGTTGGTATGCCATCTATTTGGAGGGCCTTCTTTTTTTTCCATTTTTATTTTCTGTTGGTTTGCTTACAAAATTGGTATACATTGTGTCTCACATTATTCTTCATTCACATTGTGTTTAATACACTCATTCCCATGTATTGTTGTTGTTGTTGTTATGTGCCGTCGAGTCGTTTGCGACTCATAGCGACCCTATGCACAACAGCCCTAAACCCTGCTCTATCCTGCGCCAACCGCACTGCCTCTGACACACCCATCCCGATTACCCCAGTCACTGAATCGATCCATCTCATAGAGGGTCTTCCCCTCCTGCGCCGTCCCTCCAACCTCCCAAGCATGATGTCCCTCTCCAAGGACCTCCTGGCAACATGTCCAAAGTATGTCAGACGAAGCCCCAGAATCCTTCCCATGTATTCGGTTTTATAAAATTAATCAGCACTGCACTATACTCACCATTAACCTGTCTTTTCAGGTCTCCACCAGATATTTCCCATTTCCTTTATCCCCTTCCTGTACCCACCCAATTATGCAGCCCTGTGATTTTGCCTCTCCCTATTCCCACCCTTTACTTGTACCCCTTCCCTTGTTAGATCCTCAAACTGTTCTACTAGTTATCCTTCTATTTTTATAATAATGGTCTTAGACAGTATTTGTCCTTATAAGATTGATCGAGTTCACTCAACATAATACTCTACAGTATCTTCCAGGTTATGTAGTATTTTTTTCCTGGAATTGCATATGTCCTTTGTAGATTTATAAAGACTCCTCTATAGTTGAGGAGCCAGGTGGTATAGGGATATACTATTTATTGGAGTACTATTTACCATTGCTGTATTTTGGAATAGTTGATGTGTTGAGCAGGTAAGCATCTCTTTGGCACCTGGGCAAGATAGGTCCTGGTTCACCCCTTGCCACACTAGCTAGAACCCCTGTCCCTGTTATCAAATGCTTACAGGTTAGTGGGAGAATTCCATGGGAGCTTGAGATTTTAGTACAAGGTAAAGGCCTAAGAATCATAATAGTGAAGATAAAGCAGTGTCCAGTGGGTGGAAGGCCACACCTGGCTCCAACTGAAAGAGCTGAGGGATTTTTTGTTCCCTCTAGCAGGAGTGGCTCCACTTCCTAAACAACATGCCTCTGGAAACTCTATGAACTTTGATATATGTCGATTGTTGTAGGGGGGCTTCAGGCCTTTTATTCATAGGGTTGCTATGATTTGTGCTCAACTCAAAGGCAATCAACAACAACAAGATCTCAGACAAAAGAGAGCAGGGCTACAGGCAGTCAACAACAACAACCACTAAAATGCCTGTGCTGTCTTGAAAGGAAAGACTGTAAACCTGCCTTTGCTTGAGTACCAAAATAAAAACCAAACCCACTGCTGCCAGATGGACTCCAGTTTGTAATACGTTTCTTTCGGTTTTCCGAGACTGTAAAGCCTTATAAAAGGAAAGGGATTGCTCATCTTTGTTTCACAGAATAGTTGTTGGGTTCACACCTTTCAGTTGCCACCCCTACTTGTCAAACACTGCATCAGTGGTGATACAGATGCGGGTTGGGGAGAGGGGAGAGTTGGTACCCATGGCTGAATCCACAAGCTGGGATGTTCAGACTCTCCCAGACCGTCCCCTCCTTCTGCCGCAAGCGTCCAGTCTCTGAAGAGCTGTCCTAAGTTCACATCTCTTTGTTTCCCCTTCTTTCCCTGGTCAGAGTGTTAGTGCATGAAGGAAAGCAGGTCATGGCTGACTCAGGGCCCGTCTATGACCACACCTATGCTGGTGGGCGCCTGGGCCTGTTTGTCTTCTCCCAAGAGATGGTCTATTTCTCGGATCTCAGATACGAATGCAGAGGTAGGTGTGACTGGCACTACACGGGGTGGCATGGCAACCCGGAGGACGGAAAACACACTTTACCATTCACAGAAATGTAAATTGCAATGACCAGCTGGGGTCTCATTCCTAGAATAGATCTTGCTTGACTAGTAATTTTTTGTTGTTGCTCATTTTGTTTCTTTGTACGCTTGAGTGATTTAAGTTCAATGTCAGTGCATCTTGGCGAGAAAACACTCAGCCATTTTTATTCTATTCAGCTGCCTATTTCCTTACTTGCTCTACCCTTAAAGCCATTTCCTATCGAACCACTTGCTAAAGATTAAGAAAGGGAGGGAGGAGGAGGGGAGGGCTTCTTTTTAGTGATTTCTCTGGAGTGTAATTTAACCATACTCATGTAAACCTGGGGCGAAGGGAGCTTGAGGTCTCATTTGGTCCAATGCTATGCCTACAAGTAGACTTGAAAACAACCTCCTTCTGCAGGTAAGGATTCGAAGACTTGTCTCAAAACTCACACATTGGCAATAAGGTGTACTTCAAAAATCATTACAAAAATAAATTATTAAACCTTCCTTCTCTTCTACTGCATTGATAAAAAGGTGAAAGGAAGACAAGAATATTCTTTTCTTGCTTCTGGTTGAATTTTCTTTTCCCTCTTGCCTTTCAAAACATTTCATATTTTCGTCCATTCCATAATTCATCCCCATGCCTACCCATCTGTCCATGCATTAATCTGTTTATCCATCTGTATACTACTAATCTAAACACTAAGTCAACCATCTATCCATCCATCCAACCATCCACCTATCGAGCCATTTATCCATCTATCCAATGCTTTTTTCACTGATTCTCCTATACATTGTCCTCTCTATCCATTTGCCCATCAGTCCATCTATCCCTCGATTCATATGTATTATACATGACATTTTAAAATTGAGAATAGTGAGGTTTTAGGTTATAGGTGAAACAAAAGAATACTCATAGTTCCGCCACCCTAACTCAGTCTCTCTTTTGCTTTTCCCTTTAGATGTTTAACAAGATTCGCTGCATTTCTGGCCATGTACTGTACATGCTGTTACCTAAACACCTCAGCTCATCCTGGTACCTGCTGCCTCTCTCTCTCTTATCAACATTTCCTGCCCTTTGCCCTTAACTCTGAGTGGTTATCCTCCTCCTGTCATCAAACCCCACCCCAAGTGCCTCCAGAGGACAAATGTCAATGGAGCCCGGCAACCAGCCTCCTTCCCACTGCGGGAGCAGTCCGTGCAGCGTGACAGCCCAGTCGGGCATGCATTGCTCTTCCTTCTGTGTGTTTAAAAGAAATGACGTTTACATATAAAGTGTAATTACTTACTATATTTATGTGTATATGGAGTTGAAGGAAAGATTGTGCATATGTCATTGTCATAAATTAAGCAGGAGAAATATCACTCAGTCACTTTTATTGCTTAAAGTTGTCGCTGTTCTTGGATTAGAGCTTTTCTACAGCAGCACGCCAATCCTTCTGGGCCAGTTATGAAACAAGGTCAACACACGTTCGAAGGCCATTCACGGTAGAGGAAGAGGATAGAGGACAGCAGTCAAATGGCATAAGGTAGCCATTGATTCATTGGGAGTAGAGAGAAGGACAAGAATAAAAGAGTACCTTCTTTCTTCTCCATTGCACCCCTCCCCTCAATTAGGCAGAGATGTAGTTGAATCCAGGGAAGGCATATCGTTGTATAAAGGAGAAAACTGTCTTCTGGACATGAGCCTAGGCCTTGCAAAGCTGAGCTGAAGTTTAATTTGGATAGATCACAGTGCTTTATTTGAAGCTGGTCACCTTGCTGTTCCAGTGTTGGGAGAATTCTTGGTCCCATGTCATGAGGTTTTCCAGGCTGACCACCAGAAGTTCTTGCTTGGACTACTTTCTCAGTCTCTGGTCTGAGAGCGCTGACAAGAAGACACATTAGCAGATGCACTTTGGCTTATAATCTCTATCGCAGGCTTTGGACACCATGGAAAAGATGCTGTTACCTAAGCCACGAGCACATTTCATTAAGGTTCCAGTTATAACTGTTTTGTTGGGATTTACTGAATGAGTATAGAATGCAACTCCGTTCCAGTAACTCATTTTAAACATACCAATAAAAGTACAAGTACAGCAAGGAGTATATTTGACCTTTACGGCTTAATAGCATGATAAGGCCTGCTGGAAAATTATTGAAATAGAGTAAATAATAATGAAGAGTTTATAAATGGAACCTTAATATATACTGTTGCCAGGAATTTTAATATAGTATATTTTATTGTTATCTGCTGTACATAAGATGTTCTTTTAAAAATTTACTGAAGAAATGCCAGCATTTACTTTTACCATATATGCCAATTAATCAGTCATACAGTATTAGACACACATCTAATTGCTTTTTATTTTTCTTTTTTCTTTAAACGGCATGATCTTTTGGCAAGTTAATCAGTTACCCCACACTGCACAAGGAGTCAAGCTGGTCTTGTGTGTCTGATGTGCGTTAATCAGTTAACCCCCAGCTACATGAGGAGCCAAGCTGGTCTTGTGTGTGTGATGTGAGTGATCGTTTCGCGCGTTTGCATGAATACTGATTACCTTTCTGTGTCTGACAGCGAAGATCTACACATTTATCTTCATAGTTCGCTTTGTTTTTGTTTCTATGACATTACGACCATTGCTCCCTTTGAGGTTAATTTTTTGTTTCCTTTCCTACACTTTTCCCTCTCTCACCTCCCCCTTCTCCCCAGACTCTAGTCCCAAGACTGACAAAGGGTTGAGAGACCTCATTGATGGGACAATCAAAAAGTCTAGGTTTTCTGTTGGGTTCTCTCTGGTCACACAGTACAATGGTAAGAGGATGATGCTGTTAATATTCAGAATGTACCATATTTTTCTGTAAATTATTTATGTTCTTTTTTAAAAAATCAGACTTCTCGTAGAAGTGGATGGAACTTCATTTGTTCACTGAAGACTGTAAATATTTATTTATTGTTCACAAGGTCGTGCTTCCACCACTGACACCCTGCATCTAGCGAGAACCTCCTTTTATACTTTGGATAACAGGCAATAAACTGTAAAAAGGTTTGCTGTAAATGGATTTCTCTCCCTTTTTGAAAGATCACTGGCAGGGTTCCTGCTGTGGGAACTGAGACCAGTTCACACAGGGAGGAGGGAGCAGGTGGCTTTCTGTCATGGAAAGGGGGTGTGGGGTTCCTGGTGCAAGTCTCCCTTTGTGCTCCCTGGACTACGAGGCACCTTGTGTCTGAAGAAGTTCCATCAGGTCTTTGCTGAGTCCTTGCCTTTGTGCAGACACAACTACCCCATAATTCACCTTTCACCATTCTTACTGTGGACCACGGAACACAGTCCTGCTGTGGGCTAGCAAGTGCCCCGGGAATGATTCTGAAACAAGAGGAGCAGCAGGGCCTCCTCTAACTTCCCTTGCCTGCAGCTCCCATCTTCCCACTTGGAGTAGGGACAGGATGAGCAGCATTGTACTGTGAAGTATGGTACACACACACACACACACACACACACACACTGGATGTGCTAGAGAAAAATAACAGAGGGCTCTTGGCATTTCCCTAGAAGTCCCCAAGTATATGTATGGGTTCCCAAATAGTAATTGCTGTTGTTCAATTCCTTCAAGTCAGAACCGGCCCACTGCTGACCCTGCAGCAAGTTTTAAGAGGCTGTTAAGTCCTATTGGGGGAGATTGCTTTCTTCCTCAGAGCAACTGGCAAACGAGTGGATTTGAACAGCCTGCCTTTAGATTGACAGGGAGAGTAGCAGGAAAGAGAAAAGGTGAGAGACAGCATAAGAGAGAATGAGATAGAGAAGAGAAATGAGATAGAAGAGAGAATACTGTGCATGTGAGAGAGATGATGTTGTTGTTGTTATGTGCCGTCGAGTCGTTTACCACTCATAGCGACCCTATGTACAATAGCCCTAAACTCTGCTCTGTCCTGTGCCAATTGCACTGTCTCTGACACTCCCATCCCGATTATCCCAGTCACTGAATCAATCCACCTCATAGAGGGCCTTCCCCTCCTGC